CCAAAATATCTAAGGACTCGTGTCGACCTCAGAAGGCCCTCCCACGAGTCCCACATCGAAAATGAGCACTAAGAGCATACTAAATGCCCTCTATAAATAGGCCCCTTCCACTACAATACAGGGGTAAGACTTTTCAGCTTGACTTTTATACTTCTATATGGTCAACAGCAAGAGCTTTTAAAACAACAAACTTACTTCGGCATCGGAGGGTCTTAGGCTGGTTCCACACCGGTTCCATAGACCTCACGAGTCTCGACTTCTTTCTATTCAGGATCAGCATCCAAGGACAGGAAGAATCGGCATCCAATATTCAATCGATCTCTCGATCGTCCATCTCGTTTGTAAGTTGCACTCATCTCTATCTGTTCAGATTTAGCGCCAATAGAAATTTGGGCAAGCAAAAACAAAAACGCTAGACAAGTGGTTAGGTAAAACAGAAAACCTACAGCTTGAAATTGATTGAACTCACAGGAGAACAAAAAAATAATTGGCCATAACATGTGTTAAAAAATCATATGGGGGATGACCAGTGATATACACTAATCGTACAACATTCGAAAAGGCTATAAGAATTAAATCATACCGGAATCAAAATCTGATGAAAGTGAAACTCATCAACGAGGTTACGAGGTACAAAAACACATACATTTAAAATATATTGCAAAGTAATAGTTGTGTGTGACTTACCTTTGTTGATCAAAAATTGCAGTTTAAACCATGTTGAAACCTGTCATCAATGAATGAACCCTTCTGTTCCTAACTAAGTAATTGAGTTTGTACAAGATCGAAACAGGTGCAAGCAACATTAGATGATAGAATCCCACAAACTTGGTACAAAGAAATAAAAGGCCTACAACTTTCATAATAAGAGGCCTACAACTTACAAGCCTAGAAACTTAAAGCCAAAATAATAATAATAATAAAATAAAAAAACTTAAAGCATGGAAGAACAGACTACTTTTTTTCTTTTTATTAATCATGTCCTTCTTCAATTAGTTTATATTAACTTTGATTCAGCTTCTTTTTCTCCCAAACTACATGAGGATGCAACACTTCCTGTCAGGTGTGCTGTTGCCAAAGTTGTGAAACCCAACATTCGAGGCTCCTCCACCTGCAGTAATTGTATTGCCAGAAATGTCGAGATCACCACCTTGGCCTCCGCCTTGACCTTGTACATTACGAAAGTTTGACATCCCAACATTCTCACTGAGCTCGCCTGCGGTAATATTATTGTAACGAATCTGGGTCCTGTTGCCGCCTCCTCCTCCCTGATCGAGCCCATCCATATTCATTTGAGGAAGCTCTTGTTGAGTTCTTTCCCCTTGGGGTTCTGGTTCCAAAAGTGTTCTAGGACGACCAGGAAAGCGGTTACCATCTTCCGGGGGTTCTTCAACTTCAGTTCGAGAACCTTAGGCATAAGCACATAGAATCACATCAAGGAGAAGATATCTTGAATCAAATAAAAATATTAATTATAATAGTACATACCTTCAAAAAGTGTTCTAGGGCGAACAAGAAAGCGGTTACCGTTGCCCGGGGTTCTTGCTGGTTCAGTTCTTTAAATTCAGTTCGAGAAACTTAGGCATAAATATCATAAGTGGACAACTTGCTATTTTAAACTAATTACATAAATTCCTTAGGCATACGCACATAGAATCACATAAAGGAGAAGATATCTTCAATCAAATAAAAATATTAATTATAATAGTACATACCTGCCATTGATGAAAACTCAACCAAAGTCTTTCAGTCTCTATAGAATTAAGAGTTTAACACGTTGTTCATTTGAATTAAGAGTTTAAGTCCCTACCCTTTCCCGCAAGTGCTCGATAGCTAGCTGATTGTAAAGTAAAACTGGGTTGGAGAGTCTTAACACATTGTATATATAATATTATGAAAACGTTTAGTGCCAATTGAGTGGGGGAATTGTTATATCTGCAATATTCCTAATAATCAACTTCGAAAAGTCTTCCCAGACCCAAAAAAAAAAAAAAAAAAAA